GCTCTTCCCCTTTGAGAACTACACACTCGACACAGCCGATTTCTTCTTCAACTGCTGTGACTGCTGCCCACCTGCTGCGGGGCCCCGCGGGCAGCCAGGGGAGCAGGGACCCCCAGGTATGGTGATGCTTGTCTCGCTGTGCTCAGCTAAAGCTCATCAAGTTGTCACCTGCTTTTCCTTCAGGAAATGAGTCGACAAGGCTTATGCAGCAAATGCACTCTTCAATTCTCTGCCCCTGTGTCTGATCCCCAGGAAGTCACAGATTTCCTTTCACGATCACTTTAACCATGGTTTTATGACCCTCAAAACTACTTGCAAGTAGTTTTGTATCTTTGCTGAAGGTTTATGATAAAAACCTCTTTTTTTGGATTCCCCTCCCCGCCCCCCTTGGAAAAGAGGAAGTTAAATACAAAAATAATTTTGGGTTCAATTTTTAAAATAAATACTTGCCCTCACAAGAGGCAGATCTGTATAAGCACCTAAATATTTTATAAGACATACTTTGTCTCTTTTTTCTACTGCTAAAATATCTATCTGTAAAGTGCCTAATTCTAATACTGATGTAATGAATAGTGCATTAGCCTGTAAATGTTCACTTTAATAGAGCTAATACTGGAGATAGAAACTACTCATCTGAGGAAAGACGGTAAAATAATGAAATAATTTTCATTTAATACAACGTCCTCAAGAGATTTTTACTTCCCATAGCTTGCGAGGGATTGGCTAAGGGGGATGATAGTGGCTGCAGAGGGAGTTTGCACTCATCTGTCCCTCGAGCATTGATGGAAAAGTACTTGTGTCAAATTGCTTCTGTTGTGATGATTGAAGCTGCCATAGTGTGCTCCCAGACGTGCACCGGGAGTCTCTAGATTCCCAAGTGGATGAAAAAGTAAAAAAAGATTGAAGCCAACTTGCTTGCCTTTCAACCAGCCTTTATATAGCGTGGAGCTGTCTGCCAGGTTCCACTTTTATATTGGCAGACTTAATTCTTTTTTAGAAGAGGGGCAATTACGAAGCTGTGGAAACTTCTTAGAAGCACTCGAATATTAAAGACAGATTACTTCTGATGTTTTATGAATATCTGAGCTCCTGTGGCTCTGAGGCAGCTGAAAGCTGGTTTTGAAAAATGTTTAACTACAGCCAACAGTGAAATGCAAAACTAAGATTTAGGGATTGAGTAGCTGAAAGGCAAAAGTAGGGAAACTATGTGCCTGACTGGAGTACTGCAAACACACACCCCACTAACCTTAGCACGAGCAATGCTGTGTTGCTCCTACCATCCCTTGCCTTTTGCCCCGCTGTAGGGTTTCAGCTGTAGTGTCTGCAATTACAGCAGCAGGGCTCAGGGTAAACCTGTCTGTCCCACATTTTCTTTGTATTGGTTGTATGATGTCAAATAAAAGAGCCAGCTCTTCCGAGGGTGGTGGAAACAGAGTTTTCCTTACATGCATTCCTCAATGACATGTTGCTTAGCTATTATTGCAGATTTTCTTTATAAAGTTAAATTTTTAAGTTACTAAGATAATTTTGTGGATGTCATTGCATTACAGGTCCCAAGGGGGAAAAGGGAGAATCTGGTCTGCAAGGTCTGCCGGGATCCCCAGGTTCCCAAGGTCCAAAAGGTTCTAAAGGAGAAAGAGGTAAAGTGCTAACTTCTTATTTCAGAAATAGATGCTGTTGTCCTCATTTAATACCACAAAATTATAAGAAAAAGTATTTATCAAAGAAAATGGAGTATGCTGATATAGATTGACACCTTGAGAGATTTAGCTGGCATTATGCAGGCACAATAACTCACATGGTATGCACAGGTGGTACAGGAACAGCTGCTCATAAAGATCTCACTGTAAACTCCTTGTTCGGAATGTGAGTTTAAAAACTGACTACAGTTTGCTTTGGATTAGAAATATAAACAGGAAAAAAATACCAGGGAAGCCACACACAGGTGTAGAAGCTGCATTTTTATTTAAGTATCTCAGGAAAAAACTATCTCAGCTAAGATGAGAGTAATTATTACCCATCAGTAGTAACAGAAAGGAAACCCTGCCCTTCGTTTCAGGCTCAGAGCAGCTCTGTCCTGCTGCCACACACCACTGGTAGGATCCTGTGGCTGCCTTTGGTCACAGAGAAACGCATAGGAAAGCTGATAATGGGGTACCAGCAGCACCATGCTGTGCAATTCAGTCAGTGCAGTATCTTAGGCTTTGATTCACTTCTTGGACAAGACTTCTGGCAATCCTGGAGTGAGAAATGCAGAACTATCATCATCTTCATCCTGCCATTAAGCACCAGCAACTGCTTCCCAGTTGAGGTGCTGATTAGAGTCAGAAATCCAACATTCAAGTGAGATGCAGTTGTCTGCATCATGGTGCTTGGTGCTGTGAGATTCAGCCGTGGCTTCTGAAGGCATTTATTGAAAACACATTGCTCATTTACAGTTTATTAATGAAGTGAGGGACACATACAGAATGGTACCAGTCATCTTCTGTGTAATGATTACTGTGCTGCAGACAACACCATCAACGGTATATTAATTGTGAAATGTCTTAGGAGGCAAAGGGGAGCAAGGCGAGCGAGGAGTAAGTGGAAATCCTGGTTATCCAGGCAAACCTGGGCTGCAAGGTATGTAACATGGGCTGGGAAACCCAGGAATATTGTGCTGACCTTTCTCTTTCCTGTTGGTGATGCCCCAATCCAGTACTAATGTTTTGAATCTTTTTTTCCCCCACACTTTGCCCTTTTCTTAGGTGAAGCTGGAGTAAAAGGCAATAAGGGCAACTATGGCTTCCCTGGCCTGAAGGGACAAAAGGGGTCCAAAGGGGACACTTGTGAGAATGGGACCAAAGGAGAAAAGGGAGACAGAGGGGATGCTGGAAACCCAGGAGTGGATGGAGAACAGGGTGACAAAGGTGAAAAGGGAGACACAGGGGAGAAGGGGTATTGTGGGGAGCCAGGGGGAAAAGGTGCAAAGGGAGAAAGAGGGGAAGGAGGTATGAAGGGAGAAAAAGGGAGCAAAGGGGAGATGGGGGTTGAAGGCATTTCGGGGGTGGATGGAAAACAAGGAGAAAAGGGTGAGCAAGGAAGTAAAGGTGAAAAAGGGGACCTGGGACCTGCTGGCGTTACAGGACCTTCTGGGCCCAAGGGGGTTGCTGGCAGCAAGGGCGGCAGAGGGGCTCCAGGAAAGAAAGGCTCCCGTGGGGCGAAGGGTGCCCAAGGGGACACTGCAAAGCTCCTGCGATCGGCATTCAGCGCTGGCTTGTCCAAGCCCTTCCCTCCACCCAACGTCCCCATTAGATTTGACAAGATCTTGTACAATGATCAAGAAGATTACAACCCTTCTACCGGGAAATTTAACTGCAGTGTGCCTGGCACATACGTCTTTGCCTACCACCTGACGGTGAGAGGGCGCCCTGCCCGCGTCAGCCTCGTTGCCCGCAGCAAGAAGGTGGCCAAAGCCCGTGAGACACTCTATGGCCAGGAGATTGACCAGGCATCCTTCCTGACCATCCTGAAGCTCAGCGTGGGTGACCAGGTGTGGCTGGAGGTTGCACGGGACTGGAATGGGGTCTACGTCAGTGCTGAGGATGACAGTGTCTTTACAGGGTTTCTTCTGTATCCAGATGTTTTTGACACACTGCTATAGATTTAAAGGTCAAAGATATTACTGAGAAACATGCTTTCCCTTCTGTCTGTGAGAAGAGAAATGAGCTTCAGTTTAGCATATTGGTTTAGTTGGTAGGTTTTGTGATCTTTCAACAAAAATATTTATATTTGCAATATATGGATTAGTTTTAACTAGCAGACCCAAGAAGTTGCATGTCCTTTGTGCAGGTGGGTGATGGCTAAAATAAACCATTGTCCAAACACCAGAAGAGCTATCATAGGGAGCAGATTTCACATCACAGACTTCAGGTTTGTAATTGGCCTATTCAAATTATGTAATGAAACTCATTGTCCAACTGCAATTTTAATCAGGCTAGCTTCTGTAATCCTTGCATGGTCAAAATTCCTCTGGAAACCAGTACTGAAAACCACTGGTTTTGGTAAAGATTGCAGAGTTTGATTTATAGAGCTTAATCAGATGTGAACATAAGCAGTAGGTTTCTTGAAATCACATGAAAAGATATAAAGTTATTTTATCGTTGAGTTGGTATTATCTAGTGCTTTAGACTTGGTCATGAGTTATATAAGATTTGCCTAAAAGAGTATTAGAGCTATTTGATCAGAGTAAAAAACCTAACTGTTGTCCTTAGTCAAAGATTTAGCTGAAACTTTCAAAAGTAACTGAGATGCATAATCCGCCTTATTAGTCTACTCAGGACCACCCCCCATTTCCGAGCTGCTGCCAGTTCAGCTGTTACTGCAGGGTAGAGGGGGAGGCAGGCAGGCTTTGACACTCTCCCCAAGCCTAAGGCATTGTGATAGCCCATGGGAAGTGTGGGCACGTTTTAAAAAAGCTGGTTTGCCAAAATGGAGCTGAATCTTGTGAAATAAAAATACGACATTAAATAATCTCTCGATGTCAGATTGGATATATTTCCTTATTAATGCATCTTCTGTCATTGTAGTAACTTTACACCACCTTTGGCATATTAACTATGGCACACAAAATCATTCCAATCAATCTTTTTTTAAGAAATAAAACTCAGGTCCCATAGTTAGCCTTCAGTGGCACTGGGATTTACTTGGCTTCTCAGGCAGTCACAAGCCTGGGACATTTCCCAGTGATTTGGCGAATGCTGGGTCTGACCCCAACAGGGACAGGGTGCATTAGGCTTCCATTCCCATTGGTCTTACTTTTCTTGCTTAAATCACCATGGTGCCTTCCGTACCATATTTAAATAGCATCATAAATCATGTTCCGATCTCTAATGTCTTCTTTTTACATGGCACCAAGACAAAGTGTTCTTTAGGCTTTTTTTATCCAGTGAGAAAATGAACAGCAGAGAACTGCTGTTAAATTTTAAGATAAAAACAAGGCAATTTTAAAAGGCTGGTCCTATCTATCCAGCAAATGTAAAGGGTCCTTCAACTTGTCAGCTTTGCAGCCCTCTTTCAATATCAGCAATTCAAATGTAAAATGTACTGGCTTTGTCAAAAAGTTGGTACTTAATTTGGTGCTTAATCTGAGTTAGTTCCTATGTAGTTCAAATCCAGAGTACTAAGTATATAAAAGATGCAGATTTCAGTTTATGAATTCTCTGGCAGCTGTTAAATATTGAGAAAAACCAAGTAGTTGTAATAATAATTTTAGATTGCTGCTGTCACAACACCCTCTATTCTTTTGTTGTGCTTTCATACTGCTTCCCATACGGCCCTTGTAACAGATGGTGGTATATAGACATCTGCCTAGCAATTTTCTCTCCCCCTGCTGAAGTTTCTTACACTTTTAGCACAAATAACCTCTACAAAAGAAAGAATGCAAAAATTCAGGGTCTCTCAAGAATCTGCTTGTTTCTAATCCTCTCCATAAATTAACTGTTTGGTCCTCCAGAGAAAAGAGGAGCTGACAACATTGTACAACTAGAAAAGTGCCTCCTTCTTTCCAAAAATCTCTGTATAAAATGCACTCGTGGAGGGGGGAGCCAGATTAGGAGACTTTGAGCTGCTTAAATCCTGCCAAGGTGTTCTGAGAGCAGGTTAACAGGAGCAGCTGGAGACACCTTAGGCTGTGTAAGGTCTGAACTCCAGATCCTGGGGAAGAATGTGGGATGCATGTGAGACAATCTGACTGATTTCTAAACCCCCATAATGGATATATGGGAGGGCTGTGATGGTAGTTCGTGCTGGTACCTGTGCTAAGAACTTACTTTATCATTAACCAAATACTAGTGGAAGGGATTTCTGCCTGAAACCCTGACTGGAAAGGCAAGAAGCATTCATATGAGCTACAGAAATATCACACAGCTCTTTCATACTAATAAATTTCTTAGGGTCTATAGCTGTGCCAGTGGTACTTTTAGTTTAAAGTCTTGATATTTATTTTGAAAACAGGGTTTTTTTTTATAATTTTATTAAAATACATTAAACAGCTACAGGCTGGGCGGAGAAGAGATTCAAAGCAGCCCTGCGGAGAAGGGTGGTGATTGATGAGAAACTCGACATGAGCAGGCAGTGTGCGCTTGCAGCCCAGAAAGCCAACCGTATCCTGGGCTGTATCAAAAGAAGCATGACCAGCAGGTCAAAGGAGGCGATCCTGCCTCTCTACTCTGCTCTTGTGAGACCTCACTTGGAGTATTGTGTCCAGTTCTGGTGTCCTCAACATAAGAAGGACATGGAGCTGTTGGAGCAAGTCCAGAGGAGGGCCACGAGGATGATAAGAGGACTGGAGCACCTCCCGTATGAAGACAGGCTGAGAACGTTGGGGCTGTTCAGCCTGGAGAAGAGAAGGCTGCGTGGAGACCTCATAGCAGCCTTTCAGTACCTGAAGGGGGCCTACAAGGATGCTGGGGAGGGACTCTTCATTAGGGATTCTAGTGGTAGGACAAGGGGTAATGGCTTTAAACTTAAACAGGGGAAGTTTAGATTAGATATAAGGAAGAAGTTCTTCACAGTGAGGGTGGTGAGGCACTGGAATAAGTTGCCCAAGGAAGTTGTGGAGGAGTTTAAGGCCAGGTTGGACAGAGCCTTGGGCAACATAGTTTAGTGTGTGGTGTCCCTGTTTATGGCAGGGGGGTTGGGACTAAATGATCTTATGGTCCTTTCCAACCCTAACTATTCTATGATTCTAAGTATCTTGCAAAGTTGAGTGTGTTAAGCACAGTAACGGGTGGTTTGGATAAATATGGATCTTTGTAGAGAGGGAGTTCTCTTTATCTAATATCAAATTGAATTAACAATAATGCCTGGAAAATATTGCTTTTTCTGTCTTTTAAAGGCCATATGAAACCTCCCTGCTCAAAGGGTTTCAGAGCTTTAAACATAGCAGATCTTCAGGATGGGGTGAAATGAAGAAGGGAGGCAGAGCTGCTGACCAGCTGGGTACCTCTACTTGTTGTGGTCTGAGCTTTATCCTTGTCAGCTTTCAGGTAGCTTCCCCAAGGCCATCTGCCTAGAAAACATCAATCCAAGCCATTTTCCATTTTAAAACATCTTTTATTTAATTTATTCATTTTTTTGTTTTCCTAATAGCATTTACAATCTCACTGCTGTGGGGCACTTTGATGAAGTGTTCCATTGCAACAACCTTCAACTGAAGCAAACTGTTCTATGGCAAGTTTTGAAGTATTAAAAAAATCTCTCATTTTTATATGGTTTTCCTCATTTTTCATGCCCTGTCAGAACAGCAGTGAATGAATTGATTGAGGATGTGCTTTGTCTCATTAAGTAGCACTGCTAAAAATGCCAAAATATTTGTTCCATTTCACTTGTGCTTCTACTTAGCACAGATTTATTTTGGAAAAATAAGTGTCTCCTATCTGTATTGCAATGGAGCAGTTTGACACTGGTACAAGAGAAAATAAATGCTCAGTGTACTAATCAGAGTAGCAGCTGTTTTCAATAACTAAGAAAAATTATTCCAAGCTGACATAAAGCCATAAGAAGCAGCTGCTTCTTTAATTAGGATGTTTAAGGCTAAATATGCAGGAGGATTTGGGTGCCTTGCTAGTAAAAACATACTAGAGCTCTGAGTTAGGCAACTTAGTCCACTATGTAAAAGCAGTGGAGAGCGAGGGATATTGGATGGATCATGAGCAGTCACAACTCCTTGCTGCAACAACTCTTTTTAACCTCAGAAAACAGTATGCTGGTGGGAAGGAAAATAATTCTTGATACTTTGATAAGGCTTTGATACAGCGTTGCTTTAAGCCATTGCTTTCATCTCAGCGCAAATGAAGTACCTCAAAGTGGTGTCAGAGCAGTGCTGAATCGCTCTCACCTGGCACAAATCATGCTGCAATCATCTGTAATGAGATTACAAAGCTGTTCCAATTTCCACAGAAAATCACCTGTCTGCTGGTATGTTTCATGCATTTTCTTCCCTGTCTCAGATGTTACACCAATACCGTAATACCAGCACTTATTTTTTCACTATGAGGGTGGTGAGTCACTGGCACAGGTTGCCCAGAGAAGCTCTGGCTGCCCCATCCCTGGCAGTGTTCACGGCCAGGTTGAATGGAGCATGCTGGTCTAGTGGAAGGTGTCCCTGTCCGTGGAAGAGGAGGTTGGAAGGATCTTTAAGGACCCTTCCAACCCAGACTGTTCTAGGATTTTCACAATTTTGTTGGCAGGGCTGTGGTTTTTGCTTAGAGTAACATAAGAGGCACCATCCTACACCAAGTAACTCTGGTGTCCCTGTACTTCTTCCTTTTGTTCTCTGGGTTTATTCCCTGTGCTCCTGAAAGCCACCTCTTGCTTTCAGGCATCTTGTCTTGCTCACCAGCTGAGCTGAGTTTCCCCAGAACGAAGCCCACCTGCAAAGCCTGAGGGCTGCTCTGCTGGTTAATAAAAGGGGTAATATCCTACTAGCTAAGGATGCTGTGTCACTTTGGGAATGGAGAGTCTGCCTGGTGGCTCTGGGTGGTGGAAGGCAGGCAGATGTCCTTGATGGAGTCTTCCTCGCCCCTCCAGGATCAATGTGCTGTGTCCCAGGCAGCAGCCAGGTAAGTGAGTGCTTGCTGTTAGACTGGTTTGGTTTAAAAT